AAGAAGGAGAGAGGGGGAGAGAGAGAGAGAGAGAGAGAGGCATGACCGTTGTGTCAAGGTGAAGACAAAACACAAGTACTTAGAATGTTGACCCGCCAACGACTTGGGGGCAGTTTACTTAGTTTGGTCCAAATATCTTCGATTAATATTACTTAGGGCTATGATTTAACATAAGACAAAGTAGTTATATTTTAAATACTTTCTTTTTTCTTACTAAAACAAAAATAAACACTAAGTTTGAAAATTATCTCTTTGCCTTCAATTTTTTTCTATTTAAAATTCTAATGCTAAGTTTTACCGTAAACAAATACTGTAAGATATATTTATTTTACTAGCTTTTGTTAGTTTGATATAGTTTAAGATTTAATTAATTTACCATTACCAAAAAAAAAGGATTTAATTAATTTAAAAATAATATATTAGAATTCAGTATTAGTTTTCCATTTTTTAGGGTTTGTTTTTATATTACTAAAAAACTAGGGCATAATATGAGATTTTCAAATATTTTTTGTTTTTATTTTAATGAAAACAATTGGATTTTAAATGTTACCTCTTCTACTTCAAACTAGGAGGACAATATTTTTTTTATATGAGAAATGAGAATAGTTAGAATTTTAGTATGAAGTTTATGATTTAATACAGAAGCTAAACTGTACAAAGTATGAGTTATTTTGATTGTTGTAAACATATTTTTGGCTAAATACGAGAATTCTAAAGTTTAGGGTTTGTTTTGGTCACGATGTAGTTGTTAGGGGTAGACTAATGCTTTTTTTTTTATTCAGATACGATTAATTTTGGTTTGGTTACTTTTGATTTTCGAAAATTTATATCGAAACGGTTATTTAATTTTAATTGATTCGAATCAGTTCAATTCGATTATATCTAATTAAAATTATAATCACATACAATTTTAAATTTTAAATCGGTTAGAATAGTAGATGAAGCAAATTTTAAACATTATTATTGAATTTTTTTTTTAAAAAATCTCGTTTTAGTTATATATCATAATTATAAAAAATATTCTCATTATATTATTTTCTTTATTATTGTATTGTGATACATGGATAGACAAACAATTATATTCGATTTATTCTATTACAGTTAATTTAAGAGAAATCCAAAAAAAAAAAATTGAACTTTCAAATTTTGACAAAAAAATACAAAACACTGAACTTTTTATTTTATCAAATAAATGTTAAACTTTTTAAGTTTGAGAAAATAAATATTGAACTCTTCAACGATTGTCAAAATAAACAACATGACTGACGTGATTCAATGAGATGCAAATACGTCAGATTATTTTTCTTAATTTTTTTTACAATAAAAAAATTCATATATTTTTTTGAATCACTAAAAAAGTTCAGTATTTTTTGATAATCGGAGAAAAATTCATGTATTTTTTGAATCATTTAAAAAGTTCAGTATTTTTTTAGATTCGTTTAAAAAGTTTAATATTTATTTGATAAAAAATAAAGTTCGATATTTTTTTTTTGTCTTTTAGTGGTTTTTTAGGATTTTTTCTTAATTTAGTTTCAATTTACTTAGTCTATTAACACTGTTAACTCGGATTCCATTATCAAATTTTTAAATTTTATAATCAAATAGTTATTTAATTTTAATTGATTCGGTTCCTTTTGAATATAAATCGGTCGGCTCGGTTGCCAAATAATCGAACCTTCTGGCTAAACCCTAAACAAGTTGGACGACGTCGTTTCATTTTTCTTTTACTTCTGCAGCTTCAGAGTTCTCTGGGGCTCCACTGCTACTCCCTTGGACTCAGCTTCCGATTGTCAGTGATTGAACCTTTTGAAGCTTTGTAATTTCTGGCAGAAAAATCTCAACTTTGTGATATTAAGCTTTCTGAGGATGGAGATTGATTTGGGAGCGAACGCATTCGGCGTCGACTTTCATCCCTCGCAGAATCTGGTGGCTACAGGTCTCATCGACGGCCACTTGCACCTGTAAGCTCCATTGTTTATCTTTTTTGTTTGTTTTCCCAATTCAGAAACACCGAAGAATTACAATCGAATCCGTGTGTGTGATTACAGATACCGATACAACCCAGATTCTACACCTCTCAGGTACTCGCAAGTTCATCTGCTAATAAGTTGATTTTGTTGGGTTTTCTTTTCTGAGGGATTACTGATTGAGGTACTTTTATGGACTTAGGGTGCTTCAAGTTCGGGCACATAAGGAATCTTGCAGAGCTACTCGGTTCATCGATGATGGGCAAAGTTGTTTCCTTTGTTTTCAATAATTAAGCTCCTCTTCATCACACACGCATGTGTGATATAGAATTATAGATTTACTAAGTTAGGCTTAAAATTCTTTTTTGGCTAGGAATTGTCACTGCATCGGCTGATTGCTCCATTTTAGCTACTGATGTGGAGACTGGGGCTGTTGTTGCCCGGCTCGAGAATGCTCATGAGTATTATCCTCTCTCTTTTCCAGAGAATGTTGATTGATTTCCTGATTCTTCCTTTTTTCCTCTTGATTGTGCTTATATGTGGCATTGTTCTCTAGGGAGGCCGTTAATGCTTTGATAAATGTCACTGAGACAACAATCGCATCTGGGGATGACAGCGGCTGCATTAAGGTGACTGGGATCTTCTCTTGTCTGTTTGATGCTTCGAGAAATATCATCCAAATTAAACAACAATTCTGCTCATCTCTGCAAAAGCAAGCTATCATTTTCTTTTGAGTGAAAAGAGGAAGTATGGCCTTCAGTCTACCAATTGCAGGATACTTGTTTATTCTTGTAGAGTTGTTTGTGGTATCTTATTTTCCGAAAGCTACATTTGCTTTCTCAAGTATCTTTACCTCCTCTTGGTCTCCATCTCCTCATTCTTACATCCTCTTGGATTAAATTTTGTGCCATGTTGAATTAATTTTGTATTTTCTCATCTGTTCAGGTTTGGGACACCAGACAACGCTCATGCTGCGGTGAATTTGGTGCACACGAGGATTACATTTCTGGCATGACCTTTGCATCTGATTCGATGAAATTGGTGGCGACAAGGTAGTTGGCTTTCTAGTCATCTCTTGCTTTATTTGCTTGAACTGATACTCATGTCAGAAGATGACCTGCGAGTTCTCTGATAAAGGCTTTCTCCATTTTTCCTTCTGTTTTGGTTTCTTTGGTGCTGTGTAGTGGAGATGGGACTATGTCTGTCTGCAATCTCAGAACAAATAAGGTGATACTTTTGGTTGATTGCAGTGGCATTGTTTTATGCATAAATTATGGCAATAGGAGCTCAAGTCCCCAGTGGCATTTGTTTCACTGGATGTTATATGACAGGTCCAATCTCAGTCTGAATTTTCTGAAGATGAGCTGCTTTCGGTTGCTATAATGAAGGCAAGTCCCTCCAACCGCAATGCTGAATTCGTCTACTTTCCTATGTTAGCAACAGTTTAGTTGAAACCTAAAATTAATATTGTTCATCTGGAGACTTGTGCGATCACCTTCGGCTCTCCTCTAAGAGATCAACATTTAGGTTTATTAACCCCTTTTGGTGATATACGCTATTGATGGAATATTGAATGGTTCATTTATCGCAAATATAAGTATTAGGTTTAATATGTAGGATAGTAAACCTTGCCCTCTAGCTCATCTGTCGTTATTGTTTTTCCCCTTTATGAAAAATCTACATTTATTTTTGCTCTCTCATTCACCTACTTCATTTCAGAATGGGCGTAAAGTTATTTGTGGAACCCAAAGTGGCACCATGTTGTTGTATTCATGGGGATTTTTCAAGGATTGCAGGTAATATTTCTATTAGCATTCAAATAAACTGATGGAAGTGAAGGGGGTCTAGTTTAGGACATTGGTGGTTTCACCTCTTTAGACACTTGCTTATGTCTTTACAAATTATTTGTGAGGGACCCTTAAACACTTACCTTGTTTACAGCGACCGGTTTGTTGATCTGTCCCCAAATTCAGTCGATGCTCTATTAAAGGTGAGTGGTCTCTCTGTTGCTAAGCATATGCTTGATTTCAAATCATAGTCCTCATCTAATGTGAAATACTGTGGACTTTGCGGTGAAGCTTGACGAGGACAGAGTCATAACTGGATGTGATAACGGAATAATTAGGTAAGATATCTGTGACTAGTCTAAAACTCAGCAAGTTTATGCAAATTTGTGTTCATTTGATTCACTCACTCAGGGTTGATTTACTTTTGTTTCTCAGCCTTGTCGGAATACTACCCAACAGAATAGTACAGCCGATTGGAGCACATGAGTTTCCTATCGAAGACTTAGGTATCCACTTGTAGCAAACGAATTCCAAGTTTACGATTGTCATATATCTTGTTTACTTGTTCACTCTTTACCCGGGCCGTCTTTTTTCATTTCTCTCTTCATCAATGCTTACTCTTTCTTCTTTGCCCTTCTTTTTTTTTTGGGCAGCACTCTCTCACGATAAAAAGTTTCTTGGCAGCACCGCACATGACAGTACACTGAAGGTAACAACCTGAAGTTCTTCGCCCCTCTCTTTGAAAATGCAAAACCATGTGGATATAGAGTTTTATGAATGCAATCCTTGACGTGATTTTCATTCCTCCGTGATAATAGTTATGGGATTTGGATGAGATACTCGAAAGTGGTTCCAATGGAAACTTGTTGGATAAGGAAGCTGCGGCTCCAGGAGACAGTGACAGCGATGATGGCATGGATGTTGATACAAACCCTCCCAAGCCCTCTTCTAAAGGTGAAAACTTGTGTCACACGCAAAGCTGAAATATATTTTATAACCAGGGTTTCAGGAATGGAAAAAAGGGCCTATAACCATTTTTTTAATCTTCTTTTTTTTTTTTTGAAATCTTTCCTTGTCCAGGAACCAAGAGGAAAACATCAAACAAAGCAAATCCTTCAGACACAAGTAGTTTCTTCGCAGACTTGTAGAATCTGTTCTGACACCTCTTGTCATCTCAACAGCAGTTTTGTCGCGCAACAACAGCTTTGGTTAAAGTCATGTTTTTGGAATTTATTTAATACCACAATACAAAGTTAACAGAAGTATATATTCTATAACCTTGGCTTGAACAATTTGAGCTTTGATGAGTTATGAACTCATGGGCGAGAAGAATATCGCCTCCAAGGCGAAATCTTGCCTCAGGGGAGTTTTTTTCTGGTAAGGGAAAGGAACGATGGAGATCACCCAAGAGAACATGCAAAACATGCGTAGAGAGATCCATTTATCTGGTTTTTTCCGGATCTCTGAGGGATGTAGTTGGACTAAAAGTTCGGTCAACTTTTGGATTATAAAAAAAACGATGAAGATCGAAGAAGAGGGAGTGGATGAGAAAGTTGTAGAAAAAGATTCTTGAATTTCTATATATAATATATTTATCTTTCCATCATAAGTATATACATATATGTTATCGTATATTTTAGATTAGCTTCATTTCTTTACATTATTATGTTATCAAAATTATTAACTAAAGGCTACTGAAATTGCTCAGGAGGAACACTCTGGAGCACAAGTGTTTAGAACTACATTCTTTTACGACTACTCAACACTCAAGCAAACATTCAAATTTTCAATTTGAGTGTAAATAAAAAATTGATGCTACCAATCCAAATAAATTTAAGATTAAGACGATATTAATGTTTTATTTTAAACCAGTCAGAATTGTCAGCCATTCCCCCCCCCCCCCCCCAGGAAGAGGAGGAGACCCACTTGTCTGGTGAGGTTTTGGACAACAAGCTGAAGTACCCATCTCCAACTCCATCAACCGGCTGATTATTTGAAATTTCGGTTTCGGATAAACGGCAAGACGAATTCGAGTTTCACGACAATGAAAAATCAATCATTGATTCGGATTCAAATTTCGTTTGTTAAAACTGTGCGGGCGTGAGGTGACAAGCATGAACACGAGGGGCACTGTCATGACAAAGCATGCCTCCGAGTAAGCTCGAGTCCCCGATCCTCATAAAGCCGAGAGCTAATCGGAGAAAACCAAAGAGGTGAGTACACGTCCCATCCGTATTAACCAGAACATTATCAAATTCTCCCCAAGAGAAAAAAAAATTGTGCAACATAAGTCTTCTTTACGAAATGCTTTGCTTGGGGGCAGAAAGACATTCCAAACAATTGGTGTCAAAAAATGATGGAGATGGGGAGTTACTACGGTAATTCATATTTGACGTGCGCAAGATACAAACCGCAAGCCGGAGCCATGGGTTTTGCTGCTGTTACTGTCTTCGCTTCCAAGATCCGCTCAACTGAAACCATCGATTCACAGCCCAATGAAATTCGAGGAATGTCAAATATTTCGCAAAACCCGTAAAGGGTAAAATGGAAGAGTATGGAAATATACCATCTGAGATTGTCACTTCTCCGGTGCCTACACATTTGAGGACTCCTACAAGAAGCCGAACCTGCATGAAATTGCACCTAGAGCTCAAGAACACTATATAAAAGCAGAACTTAGGATTATATCTATTGAGCAATCAGAGAAGCCTTTGTATCTCATTGTTATCAAAGTTGAAGACTTTCTGATTCATTTGTTTAATTGTTTTAATTGATGACCGGAGAATCTTTCGACGGTGTTTGGTTTCCAACGCAAATTGATATGTATCTCATTTTCAAAGTTTATGCACAAGATATGGGGGGGGGGGGTATTATTACATCACCAACAGACAATGATTCTTAAAAATGATGATCTTTGTCTGTAATAAGTGGTTTAATCTTAAGATCTAACTACAGAATACAGACTTATACCCATGAAAGATAATAATAGAGATACTGCTTACCTGGTGGTATAGAAAAGCGCGGGCACGTGCTGTTATCACATAGCAGCGGTGTCGTCTCCTTACCCCAAAAGCATCTCCATTAGTAGATTCTGCCACTCCAACTGTCTCAGTATCAGGCTGACTGAAACATGCGGAAGGATGTCCACTGTTAAGGTTACCATGCGCCCTTTCCATGATTGATGGAAAGTATGGAGTTGATGGTACCTCGGTAACATTGAGTTCGTCTAAAGTTCTAACAGGTGATTTTGCCTACAAAGCATCAGCTTATTTGTCCATCAGAACGTTGTTGTCAAAACAGATGGATGAGATGGGAATCTGTCTAATTATTCAGAGCAAGATTACATCTCAAGAGTGTTTGTGGACCTAGAATTCTAACGGCAACTATGATGCACCAGTTCATATGGTATCTATCGATGATTATGAAAATTGTGAACAATACTACCATTGTGCTGCTAATGTATGAAATAAGAAATATTAAGCAAGAAGACAATATAAAGAAATCTGACCTGGCAACCAGCTGCCCTGAAGGAGCTAAAATCATGATGTCCAATGAGAATTCTGCATGCTTCCTGAACATAAACCAACGACGATGGTGTTTTTTACTCAAGAATTTACTATGTTAAACGATTTTTCTACTGGATAAAAGGAAAAAAGTTAAACCACATGACCAGTATTGGAATTTGGAGCTTATAACTGGAAGCTGATAAAAACAGTAGTAAATAGACCTGCATAGAGCCGAGATCTAGCTTCTCAGGAACATGCCAAGCCCGTTCTTTCTCAAAGATTGATAATGGATCTGGCCCGGATAGCAAGCGATAGAAATATCTAATGAGAATATCACAGTATCAGGACTTGATTTCTGAATGCCAATGCACATACAAAGAGAAACTTTAAAATACTACACAGGCATAAGTTTAGCATGCCATAAAGCAAAAGTCTTTAGAAATCAAATATTTAGCTCTAATAATAAATGATGAAAAGAGAATACGTACGTGCGCTCCTGAGCTTTGAATCTGGCATGAAAATTACTTGGGACACATCGAACATCAATCACCATAACATCATCATCATTTTTCTGATTGAAACCAAAACTAAACATGTCAATGCATTTCCAGACAGATAAAGCAGAAGTAACTGTAAACACACGCTTAAGAAAATACAAATAAAAGTATCTCCAAATGAGATCCTTAAAACATTATGTAGATCTTTGTTGGCATCGACAACAGTCATACATATTTCCAAAATTCACACCAGTAACAGTCTTCTAATGACCATAGTTGATATCAATTGGAAATTTCAAGTATTAACAAACATTGACCTGTAAAAAATGATTCACAGCTCTCTTGACTACACCAGGCTCATGAGGAGGTAACTGCACTTAACAAAAACATTCCGTCCAGTTAGGACGCTAAAATATTCATATTCTTGATAGTTGCCAAGAAGAATACAGGCCTCACAGCTCGAATAAACAGGATGTGCTTGAGAGCACACACATGTTAGTGCATTTAACCATCTCGGCATGTCTGTATAAGAGAAATAGAGGAACATTCCAGAAATCCAATGTCTATAACTACCTAAGAAAGAAACATGACCACCTGCGACTTAGATATCAGGACATTCCAAACAATAATTGTGTGATCATTACCACTTCTCCTGGCTTCCGTTTACTGATGCGTTCCACATCTACATGGCAAACATTTGATAGCGCATGCACACCAGCGTCCTAGAATAATACAAGACCATATATCAATGCCAGAAGAAAAACAAACCAATCGTGCTAATGGGTGGGGCAATATTGCTTAAGACAGTGAAAAGAACCATTCTGTAACTTCAAGTATGCTTCACACTGAGATGAAACAATAATCAGACAGAATAAAAGAAAAGCTCTTACAGTTCGGCTCGAGCAGAAGATTGAAACCGGCTGCCCGATAAACTTATGAAATGCCTCCTACAAGGATTCACAAAACACAAATTCTCATGAAAATCCTCCTAGAAAACTTGTCAACCAATGTAAAGCAAGCCCAGCATAACCTCAGGGAAACAAATTTACTCTCCATCAAAACTTTTATCTAAATTCAGCCATTGATCACAATCCAAAACAACTTCCCAAATCGATACCAATTCATTTGATGAAACCCAGTTCAAGTAAACATTTTCCGGGCGGAGTGAAAAAAAAACTCAAACATACATGTGTGTATATATACATACCTGGAGAGCACCAACGACGGTACGGCAATTCGCCTGCTGTTGGGATCCAGAAAATCGCGTGCCGATATATTCAATGGCGACCAGGTAACGCTGCAATCTAGGGTTTGGGTTCATAGATTGCTCTGAGACACCGGATTCTTGCTGCTCTCGTTCCTCAGCTGCTTCTTCGTCACTAAAGTCCTCGATTCTCGCGATCTTCGAGAGCCTCTCGATAGACTCCTGCTCGGTTGTAGGATCGAGATGGTGCTTGAGATTATCGGACATTCCCTCCGATTTGCTCCCAACCCAAACAGCTTCGGATCACTTTCTCTGTTTTTTCTCCGACAGGGTTTAAGGATTAGGAGGTGTTTGGATACAGGTTTCGCGTTGTCTTGGATCGTGTTTGGATAAAGTTTTTGGTAATTATATTTCTACCCCATCATTCCATATCCTTGATGATTAAATCTAGACTAGTTCTAAGATTAGATGCCGATGTAATCGATGCCATCAATGTTGAAATTGATCTATTCTCGTATTGAAAAACACATAAACATATATGAATCATTCAAAAACCGTATTAAAAAGATATAGATTTTAAAAATATTGCAAGAATACGCAAATTTTTAAAAATTATCATATTTTTTCACGATATTAACCATCATATATTGAACAGACGCCGATGTGTTTGGTCAACAATTCGACGAGATTGCTATCACTCCTACGTCATCATGTCAACGACGACAAAAAACACACACACATACACATATAAACCTGTGTGTATATATACACGCTTATACGCATACATGCTTGTGTATACATATATACATGTACATTTGTTTATACATGTGTATGCATAATTGTATACATGTGTATGTATATATACAGTGTATGCGTGAGTATATAAACACGACTATACTATGTATCTTTCATGACGTGATGATTTATGTTGTCAAGGAATTAATGCAGTAAAAACATCTTTCACAATAATACTTTTTTAAAGTGTGTCAATTTATATAGTATTTCTTTAATTCATGTATTAATTTGACTGGCTTTTTTAAGAACTCGTGATATTTCTATGCTCTACTATTACAAAATCAATAACATAAAATAAAATGCAATCAAATATAGGAATATATATATATATATATGTGTGTGTGTGTATATTTATATGTGTGTGTGCAAAAATGAGAAAATAAAAGACATGGTTGTCCCATGAATTGATATGATATGTGATATGAAAGATGTCTTCTTAGCCACCTAATAACACAATACACATACAAATGGCACGATCCCATCTAAAAAAACGCTGAATTGAAAAAGTGTCCAAAACATTACCTTGGGGGTTGGGAATCCAAAGTCTGGGTGGTGGCTTGGAAATTAGATGAGTCCTTGGCGTTGCAAGTCAGTGTACGTCTTCTTGTTGTATATGTTCCCTTCCTTGTCTTCGTATTCCTCTTCTAACTCCGGCCTCCATTTGTTCACTCCTTGCCTTTCTTGTATCCTCTTCCACAACTCTTTTGCTTCCTGCTCCCCCCACCGAAACAAAAACACGGTCCGAGAATTAAGAATTCAGTTTGGTGAAAAAGCCCGCCCGCGCGTTGTAACCAGAATTAAGAGAATTCAGTTTTTGGAGAAAGATTGATGCGAGAAAACGTTGTAACCTCAATAGAAGTGATCTCGTTGAAGTTCTTTGTATTTGGAATGCCG